TGTGAAGCAGAATGATACAGACAGGAAAATTTAAGGCAGTTAAGTGAGATCTAATTTGGCTGACTGTGATTCAACCAACCAGTAATTTTTGTTCGCTGTATTTTCATAGAACAATAATTTATGGGACCTTAAAAACTCCTGACGAGTAAATTATATTGGCTCTCGTTTTAGTTGATGCATATTTAAGCAAGAGGCAGCACTAAAAAAGAACAGCCTTGGGTTTCAATTTTGCCTTCAGCACAAATCAACCATCAGGCAAATCTTAATGCTTAATCTTTCTTAACTTCAATTTTTCCGTCTCTTAACTGAGGATGATAATGCTTCCTCTGCATAGTTGCTTCAAGGATTAGAGACATTGTATGCAAAGCACCTAGTAAGGTGTCTAGCATGTAGCAGAAACTCAACTGTGGGGGTGGGGGGGGCTGTTGTTTTGGGTGCTGATGGTGGTTTATATTAATATGTAATCCTGTGGCTTGAGCATTAGACTTGGAGTCATAGGACCTGCGTTTGCGCCATGCCTCTCCCATTTAGTAATGTGATATTGTTGAAGGTATTTAGACTCATTCATCCTTAATCTCATCACTCGTAAAAATGAGTATACTTTCCCTTCCTATTTTTGTTTTGAGGCTCGTATGAAATATTTATTAAATATAAATGTCAAAATTGAATATCACTGCCACTAAATCTTTGAAAACTAGTCACCTAGGTTAAAACAGACATGCCACCATACGGTATGCAAGGTATCACTGTAATGGAAATATGGGGTAGAATGTTATCTATATTTTCAGAAGTCCTGCAAACAACAATAAAAAAGAGTCTCAAATTAGTTGAGTATGGGTGGCATGTTCCTATAGCCCAAGCTACTTGAGAGGCTGAGATAGGAGGATCTTTTGGGCCCCAAGAGTTAGAGGCTGCAGCCAGCTGTGATTGTGCCCTCCAGCTTGGGTGCCAGAGTGAGACAAATTTCAAATTAAAACAAGAAATGTATAATTAGCAAAGGGAACGATTCTCAATTTTAAGGAAGAGGACACATTCGAACAGGCTTACAATAGGCACAAAGGACTGTCCACGCCTGCGTGGCATCAGAAAGGATCAACTGCCATCTGTCCGGGTCCTTTATCAGATCATCGAAGAGTCCTAAAGTTCAGAGGGAGTAGAGATAGTGCAGCCACCCCTCTGTGTGATGGAAGAGGAAACTGAGGCTCAGAGAAGGGCAGTGACTTCATCACAAGGCCACCGCAGCAAGGGGGCTGAGGAGCGCGCTGCCGCCTGCCTCTGTCACTGGCAAGCTCGGGATTTTGCATGACGACACTGCCAGTTCTGTTCCGATGTATACGCCGTGGGCTTTAGGTCTCTGCATCTGGTAAGTGGGAAATACTGGAGAGCAAATCCAAGGCTGCCTGCTAAGCTGAAGGTTAAAATCGCCCCAGACTGTTTCTGTGTAAGGCCGGGGAGGCGCGGGGCAGGGGGCAGCGAAGGCTGGAAATCCACATCGTAAAGCTCCTTCCATCCTTGTGCATTGATGATATCATCCAGGAAACATTTCAACAACATGGATGGAACTAAATGTCTTGCCAGGTGGTAGCTCGTGATATACACAGACAGCCCCTGACTCACAAAGAAAGACTACAGAGGTCCCATACATACAAACAGCTGCCGCCGTCCGCCCAGCCCCCACCACCCTGCAGCTGCCGCGGACCCTGTGAAAAAAATTAAAAAAGAAAGAAAGGGATAGAAAAAAAAAATTGGATCACTTGCAGATTCCACACATTCAGAGGCAGAGGAAGGGGAAAAACTGTGGAAAGAGGAACAGCATAAGGGAATCGACTCTCAGGATAAATTTTCTGCCATGGGTGATCTAGCAGCAATTCCCTCTTTGCCCTGAAAAGTCTCCTCCTGGGAATGACAGTCCTTTCCAATCCACACTGCCAGAAATTTTATCAATGTAGCATTCTTTCCTCAAAGGCCTTTTTGGAAGAAGGAAAGCAGGGAATAAATAATAATTAATTTTTTTTTTTTTGGAGGCAGAGTCTTGCTCTGTTGCCAGGCACCAGGCTGGAGTGCAGTGGCGCGATCTCGGCTCATTACAACCTCCACTTCCGGGGTTCAAGCAATTCTCCTGCCTCAGCCTCCCGATTAGCTAAGACCACAGGCATGCACCACCACGACCAGCTAATTTTTGTATTTTTTAGTAGAGACAGGGTTTCACCATGGTCTGGATCTCTTGACCTCGTGATCCACCCACCTTGGCCTCCCAAAGTGCTGGAATTACAGGCTTGAACCACCACGCCCAGCCAATAATAATTAATTTTAACTGACCATTAGAAATCTCTTTTGGAATGTCACTCTCCTTTTGGGGTTGTTGTGAAGACAAACTGGATTAATACACGTAGAGTCCTTAGAACTGTGCCTGATAGATGGTATAACTCTGAGAAGTGTTATAAAAGCACCAGCTAAAACCCATTTCCTGATCTGACCCTGGCCTCCCAAAGTGCTGGGATCATAGGCATGAGCCACCACACCCGGCATGCAGTAGTTTTTGAGTAGGAAGCTTGGAGACAGAGATCCCCATAGCTGGGAGATGCAGAAAAAAGGGCAATTTGGAGGAAGTTGAAAATGAACACGGACCTATGTGAAATTTTATTTACATCTAACCCTACACCCAGGAGATGGGGAAGATTTATATCTTTC